CTTCCGATAGCTTTCACGTTCACCTTTCCCTCCCCTTCCCCATCTCTAATGTCTGGGCAGAGGACCAGCAAAGAAGAACATTTATTAACCTTACAGAAGAGTAGGACGGAACTGAAGGAATGGCTCACACCCCTCACACACTTTGATTAGTCCTCGATACAAAGGCCACCATAGTGATGTGTTAGATTTTAATTATTTCTTTAGTTTGTAGTTTATTTCCTGGGCATAATCGTCCAAATAAAGACTGACACCCAGAACTGGACGCACGAATTTTGGGAATGTGCAAATATCTTGAATTATGCATACATTCTGAACGCCACTGGGGCTACAAGGCGAAAGCTTTTATCTTGTGTTGCGTGACAGATAACGCAATCTTAAATATCTTGAGTATCAGTATCACTAGAATCAATGAGCGATTTGAGTGGCATGAAATGGAAAAGTGTAGTCTTAACATTACATAAATGACTCTTCTATGTTTGCAAACATAAAATCAGCAGTATTTGATCACGTCAAAATATTTTTCCTTTGAGGCATTCGGTCGATATCAAGTCTTGCTTGTCTGCACAGGATAGCGCCTAGCCGCATGGCCTTTGGGCAAAAATAATTTGCACGACGAAAAATCTGACCTCTTCTTTATTCTTTACCTTTATTTCTCGGTGGATTCGTCGTTTGGCTATTTATTTTCTTAAATCTCGTACGTTTTCCAAGATAACCAGAAACAGTTTCCGGTAACTTTGTTATGATTTTGGAGGAATGTCATTGATCTCTGATACGTCATTAATATTTATAGGCTCGCAAACCCACACGGGCACATAAAACAGATGCCTGTACGCGCTAAGTTCGAGCAAATTATCAGTGTTTGTTTTGCGTTTATAGCTCCATTTATCAATTATTTAACAGTGTTTTGAATGGGATGAACAAAGCTGCTACTACGGCTCTCGAAGGCTTCATTTGCCCAGCATGTTTGGTGGACTTTCCGAGCCCTTCGAAGCTTCAAGGACACTGGGTGAAGTTTCATTCGCCAAACGTGTCAACCAGCACAGCTGAACGCGTTTCAAATGACTATGAGGATATCCCAGATGATTCGCCATCGAATCATACTCCTCAGGTTTGTGTTTTTGTCGCTTAGACAGTGTGCTGTTTGAAATAAGTTTGTATACGTCATTTCTTCCCAATTGTTTGAGGTATTTCACAGCGGGTTTGCCTCCAAAAGCGTGATAAATATTGACTTTTTGTAGAGTTCATTTTGCGTTAAATACGGCCCCAACACCGCTTATTTTCCCCGTAAAAGAGATCTACGAGCGAAATATCTACAGCTAACTCAAACAGTACAAATACACTTTATTTGACCGTATGGGGGCTGAATTTTACAGCGTAGCAAATTTAAGTTAACACTGTCGAAAACATGGCTTACTGTCACCTCTAAATGTCATTCATTCATAATCTTGTACCAAAAGTCAAAATAAACATCTGTTGATTTGGTTAGGCCAGATTGGGGACCACAGAAACTTTCTAGTGAATATTTTTTTCACTTCCGAAGTATTTGCACGCGCACAAAATCTTAGGATGTGCGGTTCCAATACTGCAACCTCCAGGATCAACCTCAAATTAACACGAATTGCACAGGATACTTCTACATGAAGCCTTTAAATATTTGTACACCATTCAAAACGGCAATCGTAATCGATGTGCAGTCTTTAAAAGTGAACAACTGGGTAATCTTTTTCAAAAATATCGACTTAAGGTTTAATTAATTTATGAGTGCTGAAGCTCTGGATATTGACCATTTCCTGATGTTGAAGCAATTTAACCTTTTTCAGTCAAATTAAGTTAACCCAAAACACTTCAGGCTTATTAGCATATGAATGTCAGACATGTGCTCTGCTGTGGAAAATGAAAGGTTTTGTAGTGAAAATAAATTGAAAGAATGGCTTATTTATTGAATGGATTTTTCCTTTTATTTGCATTGGTCAATGTTTGTGACATATTGGATAATGTGAAAATTTGCACTTGTCCTTTCAAAACAAAAATTTGCATTAATATAAGTACCTGAAAAAGACTTAATGAAGTGATGATACGTTATGTAGTTATAATTAATTAGAACAAAGTTACATTTAAACCAATGTCCTGAGTTATATTTTATTTTAATAATTATGTGTATATCATTCTTAAAGCTATGGCAACAAATTATGGAGACTAAAATATACTAAAATGATATAAAATAAATAAAATACACAAATTAACTAAGATGAATTTAATTTGACTGTTTAAAATTCATACTCTGAACATATATATATATGTCGTGTACACCGTAATACTGAGCAGAAATTTGTCGCAAGTGTCACGTTCCACAACCGATGGAACTGGATTATTGCAATGAACGGATACGACACACGAATCCAATCTAGAAGTCCACCATGCTGCTTTAATAATCAACTTCCCAACTTACATTGCACGCTTAAGTATATTATGTATGATGCACCAAAATGTACCTTACAAACACTACATCCTGGCGTAGTGTGGACGGGTCCTGGACTCTTTCGGTAAATTGGGGTTTTCTGAGCAAATGGTAAATTTCTGAATCGAACGAAACTTCCCATCAGTCATTTTTGCTTACCAATTATCACAAACCGTTGACGAGCCGCTTTCTCCGTGTAAATGTTAAACAAGCAAGGAAACTATCGAATATACAATGAGACCATGTTGCCAGAGAGAAAAACCGAAAAGAGAATTCCACTTGATTTATGCTAGCTCATCGTTATCATTATCAATACTTCGTAAACAGATTCTGAGTGGATTAGGAGCTGATGTAATCCCACATAGTAGCTCGCGATGCGTGGGTTATGCAGAAGAAAAGAAGTCATTAAGGGACTATGTGTTTAACGGTTACAGTGTAATGAATTTCTCAAGGTGCCAATTAAGAGGTTTTCCTAGTGTGGGAAACGTTTGTCCTGCGACATACAGCATGAAAATTTAGTTGACAACAAGAGTGACCACTATTTGTCACGCACTCCATATTATTCCGGTACCCATATATAATAACCATATGTAAGCGACAGTTTCTGCGAATGCCCTATTAAGATAACTAAAAGAAAAGAATCCATTGCACGATCCTACCACTTTCACAAGCCTACTGACTATCAACGCGAACAGCACCTCCACTTCTCTTTTGCATCTTAATACTGGTTACACCTTGCGGTCGTGATTATCAAGGAGGTCCGCTCGGATATGGTGTTCCCATGAGGTATTTGTTGAACTTGAAAAAACTAAAATAACGGGCAAGTTACTGGGAAGTCATCATTGAGCACAAGGAAAAAAAAGAAACAGACACAGACACAGACACAGACA